TAAATATATTCAAGAAAATACTGTAGCTAATTATCTTTCATTTTCTTCTAGACAAAAAATCCTTCATAGGGAACAGTAATCCTAATGGAGATAAACAATAACAAAAAACGAAGGAATATATATGTTCAATCATTATCTAGATTTGTGTTTGTTATTTTTCTATGAGCTTCAATTGTTCCACTACATGAGTTGCTAAAATACAGTTTTAATAGCTCTTGATAAGTCTGTCCTTTGGAATAGGCGTCTAAAGAGCGTCAAAACCGACAAAGGAGTTTTTGGATTAATTTGTTTGTTAGCAAATACTTCACGGGATTCATAAATAAGTTTAAGCATAGTATTATATGTTTGATCAGTCTTTTTTCTAACAAATTGCTTTTGATAGCACCAGACGCCCTCGATAGCGTTTAACTCACAATGAAACTTCGGACAGAAATGTATCTTAATGTTAAATCTATCAGCCAGCTGTTCCAGACGTGACGTCTAAAAAATAGTGTGATAGAGACACGAAACTTATTCAATTGAACGTACAATTTTAAATGCTGGATGATGAGATAAAATATTTCTTAATTGTTGAAGTTTTAAAGTCAGTGGTAATTTAACATTAAGATCTTTGCTTATTTCGATTAAACCCTTACTTAAACCTTTGTATGGACCTGTTTTGAAAAAGCAATCTACAATACGTTTTACACCTTGTTGATCAAAATATTCTATTTTATCAATTGGACAACGCGTTCCGATGGATTTTCCGAAATCAAGTAAGAAATAAGCTTTTGCTGTATGCGTTCTAGCATTGTCGACAATAATCTCAATTTTGTGATTTTTAAATGATTCTTTAAATTGTATTAGTTTAAACAAACGTTCAAACTGAGCAAGAATTGTAAAGTTATCAAAATATGTATCATAACCGACATCAATAAATCCTGTAGCAGACTTTTCAATATAATTAATATCATTATCATTAGCTAATTCAGGAAATTCCTGTAATGCTCGATTGTATTCCCTGTTATCTAGTGTAAAGAAAGGACCTGACGGGTGCATTACTAAATAATCACTGATCATTACGGATCTTCCTCGTCCTTTTGAAAAAAATGGTGCTTGATCAGCAAATAACCATCGTTTCGCCGAAACTTCTCCTGAACGAAAGGTTCTTTCATCATGAACTAAATAGAGGTACGAGTGTACATTTAGAAATAAACCTGCTTTCTATCAGCTGCCTCACTTACATATTAATATAGAAGGTGGATTTTTAGTGGGATTTTTCCATAACGGATTTTCGCCATCGGATATTGTGTAATACTGATCCTTGTGATCGAGAAAATATTTAACAAAAATTTGACGATCATAAACAACATCTGTCCTTTCATGACCTTGGAAATATGGTCTCTTTGAGTTTAACTCAAAGCACGCACCCCATCGACGAAGATCTAACCGACAGGATTTTTTAGACCGAATAAGGTTAGAATTGCTATCTTTAATTGTATTTGTTAACTCGTGATATTTTTGATCAACAAAAATAGCTAAATCCATTGCAGTAAAATCAGCTGATTTATTAGCGCAACGTTCAATTGAAAATGATTTAGCTGCTAATTCAATTTCAGGAAATGTATCATAGAATTCTTCACCACGCTTTCCGCCACGATTATCTGTACAAAACTGATTAAAATCTCCTGATGTAAAAATCTCAATCCATTTATGACATGTTTTACTTGTTAATGCACTTACTTCTTTTAAAAATAAGTCACAATCCCGCCATGTAATGTCAAAATGTCTTAAAGTCATATATAATAAAACACTAATAAATTTTAAATTGCATTTATTTTGACATAATTCGAAAATATCGGATATGTCATTTAATGTTACTTTATCGTTGAAATTTAGTGATGTATCAGTTAAATCATCATTTAATCTCATTTCTTCTTCATCTGAATCCGTAGAACTTTCTACCTCACGCCGAACATCTTTATCAAGTAAACGGAGCATCCCACGATTAATACTACGAGCGTGAGAACGACGTTTTGATAATTTTGGCATGATAAAAAATGCTCTGAATTGATATATATGATGTGTTAAATACTGTCTTTCGTAAGTTTGAAAAAATGAGAATATGAAAACTCATTTGCAATAGAAAAACAGTGCGTCAATGTGTTATAATAGTGAAAGATAAAAATGGGTATTAATGTAAATGAAACATAGCCACATCATGTGACTCATCCAAATTGAACTCATTAGGGAGGAATTTTCAACCAGTAACTGAGAATATTCTGGTCAGAAAAAAGTTCATTTGAAAATCAGTCACACGCCTGAAGATTATAGAGAACTGGAACATTTCGAAAATATCCTACTCCTTTTCCGTCAAGACCGATGACAAGCATTCATGCACTCTACGACAATTCTTTGAATATATCTTTTTTCTTTTCCCGAATATTTAATACAAGAATTTGAAAAGTGTTTATTACAATTCGAATAATTTCCCTCAAAAGCTTTCAACAATCTCTAGAAAACAAATGCATCGAAATTTAACAAAAAAAAGTATTTTACGTTTCTTTCACACTTTCGTCCGATCTCTAACGATAACTACAAAACTCTTTCGGATACTTTTCAAAATTAACTAAAGATTCTTCTAAGTATATTCG